CCTGGGAAAAAAAACAACCCACCGGGAGCGGGGGCGGGAGGTGCTGAGGGCAGCGGGATGGGCGGGATTCCAGAGGGGGATCCCTGGAGGGAGTGGGGTGGGAAAGAGGGTCGGCATTCCCTGTCATTCCCGAGGGATTGTCCCAAAGGTGGTGTGGGGGGACAGTGTGGACATGGGCAGGGATCCACGGGGTATTCCAAGGATTCACAGCCCATGGATGGTGATCCAGGGGGTGTTTGGGAATATGTGACCATGGACAATGATCCAGGGGGTGTTCCAAGGGCTCCCATTCCATGGACAGTGATCCAGGGGGTGTTTGGGAATATGAGAGCATGGACAATGATCCACAGGGTGTTCCAAGGATTCACAGCCCATGGATGGTGATCCACGGGGTGTTTGGGAATATGTGACCGTGGACAATGATCCACGGGGTGTTCCAAGGACTCCCATTCCATGGACAGTGATCCATGGGGTGTTTGGGAATATGAGACCATGGACAATGATCCAGGGGATGTTTGGGAATATGTGACCAAGGACAATGATCCAGGGGATGTTCAGGAATATGTGACCATGGACAATGATCCATGGGGATGTTCAGGAATATGTGACCATGGACAATGATCCATGGGGTGTTCCAAGGACTCACATTCCATGGACAGTGACCCAGGGGGTGTTTTGGGAATATGTGACCATGGACAATGATCCACAGGGTGTTCCAAGGACTCCCATTCCATGGACAGTGATCCAGGGGATGTTTGGGAATACGTGACCATGGACAATGATCCACAGGGTGTTCCAAGGATTCACAGCCCACGGATGGTGATCCAGGGGGTGTTTGGGAATATGTGACCATGGACAATGATCCACGGGGTGTTCCAAGGACTCCCATTCCATGGACAGTGATCCATAGGGTGTTTGGGAATATGAGACCGTAGACAATGATCCAGGGGATGTTTGGGAATATGTGACCATGGACAATGATCCACGGGGTGTTCCAAAGACTCATTCCATGGACAGTGATCCATGGGGTGTTTTAGGAATATGTGACCATGGACAATGATCCAGGGGATGTTTGGGAATATGTGACCATGGACGGTGATCCACAGGGTGTTCCAAGGACTCCCATTCCATGGACAGTGATCCACAGGGTGTTCCAAGGACTCACATTCCAGGGACAGTGATCCAGGGGATGTTTGGGAATATGTTCCCATGGACAATGATCCACGGGGTATTCCAAGGACTCCCATTCCATGGACAGTGATCCAAGGGGTGTTTTAGGAATATGTGACCATAGACAATGATCCAGGGGATGTTTGGGAATATGTTCCCATGGACAACGATCCACAGGGTGTTCCAAGGACTCACATTCCATGGACAGTGATCCATGGGGTGTTCCAAGGACTCACATTCCATGGACAGTGATCCAGGGGGTGTTTTAGGAATATGTGACCATGGACAATGATCCAGGGGATGTTCGGGAATATGAGACCATGGACAACGATCCATGGGGTGTTCCAAGGTTTCACAGCCCATGGATGGTGATCCAGAGGGTGTTTGGGAATATGTTCCCGTGGACAGTGATCCACAGGGTGTTCCAAGGATTCACAGCCCACGGATGGTGATCCAGGGGATGTTTGGGAATATGTGACCATGGACAATGATCCACAGGGTGCTGGGACCCCCATTCCCATGGATCAGTGATCCAGGGGGTGTTTGGGAATACGTGACCACGGACGATGATCCACAGGGTGTTCCAAGGACTCCCATTCCATGGACAATGATCCACAGGGTGTCCCAAGGACTCCCATTCCATGAGCAGCGATCCAGGGGGTGTTTGGGAATCTGTGCCCACGGACTCGGATCCATGGGGCNCCAGCACCCCCATTCCCATGGATCCCCAGGCAGTGCCTCCCTGTCCCGAGGGCTCCTGAGGCCGCCGGAGCCGCCGGATTCCGGTGCCAAGGAAAATCCCTGGAGCTGCCAGGCCGGGGCGGTGCCGGAGCCTCCGGAGCCGCTCCCGCCCCATCCATGAAAGGGCCCTTTGTGGGCAGGACAGGGAGGGGCCCCCCAGCTCCTCACCCCCCATTCCCACACTCCCACCTTCTCCCTGCTTTTCCTGGGAAAAGGGGGGCGGGGGGAGCACCCCCGTGGCTGCTCCAGGCCTCAGTTTTCCCACGGATTCCCCCTTCCCCATATCCCTAAAAAGAGGAAAAGGCATCCCAGGCCCTCCTCCTGCCCTTTCCCAGTACGGAACCGGGAGGGCTCGAGGGCAGCCCGGGCCCTTCCTTAGGCCCCTTTTCCCCTCGGGAATGCTGGGAATTGCAGGAAGCAGCTCCTTCCAGGTGTGTTATTACCGGGACTCGCCCTTTTCTCCCGGAACATTCCATGATTTTTCGCCGAGCCCGTGACGGTTTGGGCTCGTTGAGGGGCCCTTTTCCCTGTTTTTCCCCTCTCCCAGAATTCCTGCTGCTCCGGATGTTGCCTGCACGGCACCAGTTTAATTGGGATATGTACACCAGGATTATCCAGGGATTCCCACCCCAAACCCCATGGAATACCCAAGTGGGAGGATCCACCCGGCGAATCCCGTGGAAAACTCAACCTCCTCCTTCCACCCCTCCCTCCAGAGGAGGATTCCAAGCGGGAATGCAGTGGACTTCCAGGGGGTTCAGGGGCGGGAATCAGAGCTGGATCTTCACCACCAGGTTTATCCAGGAGCCACCACCGAGCTCATCCCGATTTCCCCCCCCCGACTTTGTCACAGAGGTTTCCCCCCCCTCCGGTTTTCCTGGCGATTCCCAGCGGGAAGAGCGGAATTCCAGAGGCAGCAGCAGCTCCGGCAGGGCCCCGAGGCCGCGGCCCAGCCCCCGGGATCCCTTCCCCAAAATAAATACCACTGTCTTTGGGAAAAGCACGGGGCACAGGGGGCTGGAGGCCATCCCAGGGATCCGGCTGCTCCTTCCAGAGGGTGTCCCTGGCCCGGAGCCGGCAGGGAAGGGGCCCCCAGGCCGGTGTTTTTTGGGATGTTTTTTTTGGCATCTGAGCGGCGGGGCCGGGCGGGAGCAGCTCCGCTCACATGAAGTCGTCGGAGTCGTTGCCATCCTGGGGAGGGGAAACAAAAAAAAAGAGAGAGGGAAGATTGGGATCATCAGGAATGCTAAAAGTGGGAAATGGGGGGTGGATCATCGCAGAATTCCCCTTTGTTCCGGTTCCTTGGATTTCGCCCCAGGAAAGCAGAGCAAAGGGGGCCTGGAATGGGTTGGGTGGGAGGGAACGCAAATCCCGTCCCATTCCATGGGCAGGGACACTTCCCAACATCCCAGGCTGCTCCAAGGGAATCCAGCCCGGCCTGGGACACTCCCAGGGATCCAGGGGCAGCCACAGCTTCCCTGGGAATTCCAGCCCAGCCCCTCCCCACCCTCCCAGCCAGGAATCCCTTCCCAATCTCCCCCCCAAATCTCCCCTTTCCCACTGGGATCCATTCCCTGGGGCCTGTCATTCCAGGCCCTGATCCCCAGTCCCTCTCCAGCTCTCCTGGAGCCCCTTCAGGCTCTGGAATGTGCTCCAAGCTCTCCCGGGATCCTTCCCTTCTCCAGCCTGGCCATTCCCAGCTCTCCCAGCCTGGATCCAGAGCCTGCCATTGGATCCATCCCCAGCCCAGCTCCTCCCTGGGAAGGAGTTCCGGGAACAAGGGGGTTCCCTGGGAATCTCGGCACTCAGGGAAGGGTCTCCCTTCCCCTTTCCTGCCTTTTCCATCCCCACATTCCATAAAAATCCCTCTGAATGGACTCTGGGTGTCCTTTATCCTGGAATGCCGGAATGGTTTGAGTGGGAAGGGCCCTCAAAGCCCATCCCACTCCATGGGCAGGGACACCTCCCGCTATCCCAGGTTGCTCCAAGTCCCATCCAACACTTCCAGGGATGGAGCATCCAGTCCATCCTCACCCTGAACCTGTTCTTTCCCTTGGGATGAAAGACCTGGGAGCACTTTATCCCTGTTTCCTCAGCCCCAGTGATCCCCAGTGTCCTCCCAGTGTCCTCCCAGTTCCAAAGTCATTCCCAGCGGGATCACAGGCAGTGCTGTGCCGGGCAGGAGGCTGGAATTCCATCCCTGTCCCGAGGATTCCGTGGGATCAGCAGCTCTCACTCACCTGGTTGGAGGACATGTTCTCTGCCTTCATCAGGGAGGAGTAGCTCCTGCCAGGAAAAATCCCAACGTTATCCCAGATCCGATCCCTTCAAAAGCCCCCAAAAGGGGCCATTTCGGGATCAGAAATTCCAGAATCCCGGAAATGCACACTGTTTTCCTCCTGGAGCTCAGCCAGGGGGGATAATTAGTCGCTCCTCTCGTCCTCCTCACTAATTAAGCCCGGGGCAGGGAGGTTCAGGGGTGCCTGATTGCCTTTTCCAAGGTTTTTTTCTGCAGGATCCACCGGCCCGGGAGGTGGGAAATCCCGGATTCCGGGAGCTGCAGCCCCTCCAATCCCCCTTCCCTGACCTCTCCAGGGGTTGGGTGGCTCAGGAAATCCCCAATTTTCTTTGAAATCCCACTTTTGAAGCCCTTCAGGGACAAAGAGGAGCTCGGGGAAAGCTTCCAAGGGGAGTTTTTGGAGCGAGAAATCCCCGGGAACGAGGCCCCTCCGTGAAGGTCAGGGCGACATTCCAGCCCCTCCTCCATCATTCCCTGCTCCCAGGAGGGGGGACTGAGGGCTTTAATTAACTGTTAATGAGCAGCAGGGATGGGAGAGGAAGGGATGTTAATTAATAGGGATATTTAGGAAGAGGGATATCAAGGAAGAGGGATATTAAGGAAAAGGGATATTAAGGGGGAGGGATATTAAGGGGGAGGGATATTAAGGGGGAGGGATGTTAAGGAAGAGGGATTTTAAGGAAGAGGGATGTTAAGGAAGAGGGATATTAATGGAGAGGGATATTAAGGAAGAGGGATATTAATGGAGAGGGATTTCAAGGAAGAGGGATGTTAAGGAAGAGGGATATTAATGGACAAGAATATTAATGGAGAGGGATGTTAAGGAAGAGGGATATCAAGGAAAAGGGATGTTAATAGGGAGGGATATTAATGGAGAAGGACATCAATGGAAAAGGGATATTCATGGAAAAGTATATTAAGGAAGAGGGATATTAAGGAAGAGGGATATTAATAGAGAGGGATGTTAAGGAAGAGGGATATCAAGGAAGAGGGATTTAAGGAAGAGGGATATCAAGGAAGAGGGATTTAAGGAAGAGGGATATCAGGAAGAGGGATATCAGGAAGAGGGATATCAGGGAAGAGGGCCATTTATTAAGGAAGAGGGATTTAAGGAAGAAGGATTTAAGGAGGAGGGATATCAGGAAGAGGGATATCAGGGAAGAGGGATATCAGGAAGAGGGATATCAGGGAAGAGGGCCATTTATTAAGGAAGAGGGATATCAATGGAGGCAGAGGCAGGTGCTGAGCTCCAGGGAAGGCTCAGTGATTCCCGAAGCTCCCAGGGAGCTGGAAGTGGACCAAGGCAATAATTCCCCAATTTCCTCAGGTTTTCAAAGGCTTTGGAATTGCCCGACCCTTGGGCAGGGGCTGGAACGGCCGGGATTGTTCCCGGGAACGCGGCGGGACATTCCAAAGGGAATCGCTGGGCCGTGGAGAACAGGGAGCAGCAGGGCCCGGCGACCCTCGGGAACGGGCTCCACCCCTCACCTCAGCTCCTCCAGCTCCTTCTTCTTCTTCAGCTCCTCCTTCTCCCTCCTCTTCATCTCCTGGATCTGGGCCTTCTTCTCGTTCCGCTCCTCCCGATCCCGCGCCTCCCGCTCGGCCGCCAGGTCCGGGAACCGCTCCACCTTCGTCTTCTCCAGCCGGTTCAGGATCTCGTTCACCTTCTTCTCCACAGTCAGCACCTTCACCTGGGAACGCCGGGAATCGCGTTGGGAATCACGCCGGGAATCACGCCGGGAATCACGCCGGGATTGGGGAGCGGCCCCGGCACTGCTGCCCACCCGGCACGGCTGGGCTGCATCCCACAAAATCACAGCCCCAGGAAAATCCCTGTCATGGGGCTGGATCCCACAGAGCCTGGGGAGAATCTCTGCCAAAAGGGTTGGATCCCACAAAACCAGAGCCTGGGGAAAATCCTGGCCAAAGGGCCAGAGCCTGAGGAAAATCCCCACAAAACCAAACCCTGAGGAAAATCCCTGCCATGGGGCTGGATCCCACAAAACCAGATCCTGAGGAAAATCCCTGCCATGGGGCTGGATCCCACAAAACCAGAGCCTCAGGGAAATCCCTGCCACAGGGCCAGAGCCTGAGGAAAATTCCGGCCACAGGGCTGGATCCCACAAAACCAGATAGTGAGGAAAATCCCCACAAACCCAAAACCTGAGGAAAATCTCCACAAACCCAGATCCTGAGGAAAATCCCTGTCATGGGACTGGATCCCACAGAACCAGAGACTCAGGAAAATCCCCACAAAACCAAATCCTGAGGAAAATCCCTGTCATGGGGCTGGATCCCACAGAACCAGAGCCTGGGGAAAATCCCTGCCATGGGACTGGATCCCACAGAACCAGAGCCTCAGGGAAAATCCCTGCCAAAGGGCCAGATCCTGAGGAAAATCCCTGCCAAAAGGGCTGGATCCCACAAAACCAGAGCCTCAGGAAAATCCCTGCCAAAAGGGCTGGATCCCACAAAATCATATAGTGAGGAATGTCCCCACAAACCCAAAAGCTGAGGAAAATCCACACAAACCCAGAGCCTGAGGAAAATCCCCACAAACCCAGAGCCTGAGGAAAATCCCTGCAATGGGAATGGATCCCACAAAAGCAGAGCCTCAGGAAAATCCCTGCCAAAAGGGCTGGATCCCACAAAACCAGAGCCTGAGGAAAATCCCTGCCAAAGGGCTGGATCCCACAAAGTCATATAGCGAGGAATGTCCCCACAAACCCAAAAGCTGAGGAAAATCCCCACAAACCCAGAGCCTGAGGAAAATCCCTGCAAAGGGCTGGATCCCACAGAACCAGAGACTCAGGAAAATCCCCACAAAACCAAATCCTGAGGAAAATCCCTGCCAAAAGGGCCAGATCCTGAGGAAAATTCCGGCCACAGGGCTGGATCCCACAAAACCAGAGCCTGAGGAAAATCCCTGCTGTGATAAACCCCGAAAATGATTCGGGCCAATTAAGAGAAAACAGAGTGAGGTCAACAATGACCCGGAGAGGGAAAAGAAAAACAAATCCTAAAACTTAACTGGGCCCCTGTAAAGAGATAAAACAAGTTACCTCCCTCTGACCCCGTGGAGGATTTATGGTGAGGGAATTTTGTTTAGTCGGCTGGACAACAACAGCACCTTTCTTAAAATCTATAACTCTGCACAGATCACAAGCAAACATCTGCTGAGTGTCTGACTTACCCACGTGTAATGCTCATGTGTAATGAATATTCGTTAATTAGCTGGAAATAAGAGCAGAACAACTGTCTCCTCTGGGCGTGAGGGGCGTTGGGAGTTGTTGAACCCCCTCCCCGATCACCC